TGCGACTTGAAGTCCATACATCTCAAAGCATGCTGGCTGGGGAATTCTGCGACTTGAAGTCCATACATCTCAAAGCATGCTGGCTGGGGAATTCTGGGACTTGAAGTCCATGCATCTCAAAGCATGCTGGCTGGGGAATTCTGGGAGCTGAAGTCCATGCATCTCAAAGCATGCTGGCTGGGGAATTCTGGGAGCTGAAGTCCATGCGTCTCAAAACATGCTGGCTGGGGAATTCTGGGAGTTGAAGTCCATGCATCTTCAAGTTGCCAAGGTTGAGAAACACTGCCCAAGGGGGTAAAAAAGGATTACCTTTCCGCTCTTTTAAGTATTCTGGGTCCACCAAGACGACGCCATCTGCGGAAAGAACGGTGCCGAAGATGAGAGCCAAGTCAAAGTAGCATGTCTGCCTTCCGTGGTTAGCAAACCCCATCGCTGTCCCGTGCATTAACCAGGCTGGCGGCAGAACAGGTTCTGAACACAGCCGGTGCACCCAGCCCCATATCCAGGGACAGGGAGGACGAATCCCCCTATGCTCCTTTCCCCAACTCAGCCCCTCCCAAGGGGTCTCATCGCCCCCAGCCAACATGGCCTGGGGGATGCCTGGGCTGGGAATGATGGGAGTGACAGTCGAGACAAGTAGATGGCTTCCCAAAACCACTATCTTGTATGCTGAACCTCGAGAATTTTGGACTCTGTAATAGGCAGGCCAGAAGAAATCAGAATCAAGAATCCCAGCCAGCCATGCCCTTGTCTGAGAAACTCCATTCCGTTCCTGCAGTCTTCTGGTTTCCTCACCCCGTGATTGTCCTGTGATCCCTGAGCATGGTCACTCTCCGTTGCCTTGCCCCCTGTATTCCCCCCACCCCACCCCACACACACAAAGACTGGTTTATTGTTCAGCAACAGTTTAGGTTCCCTGAGAGCAACTCTTGGGCTGTTCTGATTGCATCAAAAAATGAGAGACAGCTTGTTGCTGATTAAAATGCAAAGGTGGTTTGTCGGCTGCCATATTCCCCACACAGCACTGAGGGTTGAGCTATTGGCCATTAGAGCGGGGAAAGAGAAAAGAAAAGAGATCAGAGTGAAGCTGCAAAGATTCCTTGGTGTGACCAGGTCTTTCAGCCAAATGGGGAAAAAAAAAAGAGCAGGGAAGCCTCTGGACATAAAACTCCTTGTTCAACATTTTATGTCTTTTTCTGCCTAATTCATTCAAGTCCCTTGAGGTGGGGGGTGGACCAAAGAGGAGGGTGGTGAGGATTGATGTTAAATTTCTGTGATTGGCCAGAATGCCAGAACGAAGAGAGCACGGATGAATCAGGTTTAGCAAATTTCTAGGGAGAAAGCATCAGCTTTGGGAAAGGTTTTTCCCCCACTGCCGATGCCATCGACGTGCAATTAAATATTGAAAAAAATAAAACACCCAAAGTCAGTAAGAGGCACCCGCAGGATCTGAGATCGTAGGGAATCCGGGGAAACGGTCACTCTCCTGAATTAATTCCAGGCGACTGAAAGCATTGCTAATATTAAGCCTTACAATCGGAATTGACAGCGCTCTTAGAACCAAGGCAGAAAATACAGTAAGAGCCATCCAAGCCGTAAGAGAATTACAATCTCATCTCAGTCACTTTTAAGGGTTAGATTTGCTGGTGCTGCCCAAAGAGCAATGCAAATGATTACGATGAGTAATACCAGAGCCCCGTTTTGGAGAAACACAGAATCCTCCAAGAGCATTGCCAAAGGCTTTATTAGAGAGTGCCTTTCTCAGACTACAAATAGCAGTTAAAAATCAAATGCAAGTAATTTTACAGAACTCTAGGATAATTAACTGCATTAATAAAAGGTAAAAACGGCAAAGAAAGATAGAGTCAGCTGTAGGCTTAATGCTTTATAACATTTTTTCTCAACCTTGGTGGCTTTCAGACGGATGGACTCCAACGCCCAGAAATTCTGACCTTGGTTATTCTCTTGAGTTCTGACAACTCCAGTTCAACCTCCACTTACCAACTGGATCGACGAGATCTATGTGGTCGACAAAGTCTCTCTTTCCCAGGTAAACAGTGAGCTGTGAGAAGACAAAATTTCAGAGGGGGCATCAACACCCAGAACTAAATAAGAAGCCCAAAGTGAACTTATCTTGGCAAAACCTAATCTATTTCTTCTGAGCAAGATGAACAGAGTCACAACCTCTAGCTGCCCAAAAGAAAGATTTAGCATGACTTTCTCCTACTCCCCCAAAAATGTACCCTAGGTAAACATCCCTCAAAGAACCTCCACTCCTCCTGGTTCCAGGCCAACAGCACCATGGAAATGGTTCACCACTTCTTCTCTTCTCAAACCTTTCTTGCTACTCTATCTAGCTGCTGGAATTTGATTTGGCTTCTAGGTCAAAGCAGGGAGGGTAGTAAACCACTGGAGTTGAGTATACAGCCACCAAGGAAGCCAGAAACAGAAGGGAAGAACATTGGCAAAGAAACGGACAAGAAAATACAAGAGTCAGGCCAGCAAGGAAACTCAGGTTTCTTTATACCAATGCACAAAGTATAGGAAACTAACAAGAAGAGCTGGAAATCCTAGCATAGGAACATAAATGTGATGTCACTGGTATTACTGAAACACGGTGGGATGTAGAACACAGTGCGGGAAGGCTACAACTTGATTAGGCATTGCCTTGTATGTGGGGAAAACATAGGAATCTACAGAAATTCAGATTTCTGAGCATGAGAGCCTGTTGGGACTGTCCGGGCAAGAATAACAGAGAAATGAAAGAGACACCATTATAGATGTCTGGGACAAACTGAAGAGGAGAATGAAATCTTTCTGCACCGGATGATCTAACTCTCAAGGAAGCATGAGATTGTGATTATGGGGGATTATAATCGTTCAGATATGTGTGGGGTTCTTAGTGCTCTCTGAACCTGGTTGCTTCCTTGCAGACGTTTCATTACCCAACTAGGTAACATCATCAGTCACCCTGATGAAACATCTGGAAGCAAACCACCCAGCTCAGAGAGCACCAAGGACTCCACAGCTCAACCCTGAGCTACAGAGATTCTCTTCCATTGGATCCAGATATTTGTTAGAAATCTTACTCTGCCAACAGATACAGGTCTGAGAAATTCTTGTCTTCTCTCAGAGATCTGTCAAAAGGTAGGAGGTCTACTACCTTGGACCTAATCCTCACCAATAGGGATGACATGGTTGAGGAAGTAAAGGTGACTAGGACTCTAGGAGGCACTGCAATCCTGGTTTCAGGTAACCAAGGGACAAGAGACTGCAGACAGATTTCAATATTAGATTTCAGAAGAGCAGACCTTAATGGACTCAGAAGAATAGTAGGAAGGATCCAATGATTTGGCATCCTAAAGGAGAGAAATGTCCAAGAAGGCTGGGAGCATCTGTGAAATGAGATACTGGCAGCAGATACCCAAACAATTCCTACAAGAAGGAAGAATGGGAAATGCCTAGAGAGATCACACAGGGTTTTTATTGTAAACCACCCAGAGTCACTTCCTCATGAGACGGGTGATGTCTAAATTTGAAATATAAATAAATAAATAAATAAAATCCATATAGAACTTAATAAGTTGCTTGAAGGAAAAAAGGAACTGTACAAGAAATGGAAAGAGGGGACGATATCCAAAGAAGAATACAGCGGCATTTGCAAAAACTGCAGGTCTAGCAGGAGAAAAGCTAAAGTTCAGCACTGGCCAAGAACACCAAAATAGCCAACAGTTTTTCACATATGTCAGAAACAAAAAGAGTAGATCTTCCACAGAGAGAAGATGGCGAAATGCTTAAGGAGGAGGATGAGAAAGCAGAACTTCTCAACTCCTATTTTGCATCTGTTTTCTCTCAGAAGGTGAACAAACCTTTGGTTGGGCCTCACTGTTCCACTGGGAAGGGAAGTGAACTGAAGTTCAGGATAAGCAAACAGCATATGAGGAATTCCTGGCTAATCTAGAAGAGTTAAAGTCCCCAGGGCCAGATGAATTATACCCGAGGGCAGTGTTTCTCAACCTTGGCCACTTTAAGATGGGTGGACTTCAACTCCTGGAATCCCCAGAATTCTG